GATTCTGTGAGGGACGGCAGACCCGGGCATGGCCGCAGCTGCCGCACCTCCGCGTCACCCCACACCCAGAGCGAGATGCGCTCTGGGGCGAACAACAGAGATGTGAAATTCCTACTCCTGATGTTCTGTAGTAGCACAGGAGACCATCATCAGTAGAATAAGTAAAAAAAGAAGAAGAAAGAACAAAACGTCCTCTTGACGCTGAATAGCACAGGTTCTTTTTAATTCAGTTTATCTAATGCAAATCAGTTTAATAAGAAAGGAAGTAGGTGAAAGTCTAAATGACAACAAAGGTTCAAGCCAGAGCAGGAGGTTGAGAGACTTGATTTGCTATTGTTTCCTAGATCCTTCTCCTAATTTTAGAATGCAAGGAAATTCCAGGCAAGACATTGTGTTGACCTGCTAGAGACTACAAGTTGGAAAACAACAAAGGGCGCAGAACATCTATGGCCCAAACTCCTAACACGTCTGCCTACAAATTTTAGGCGGTATCAAAATAGGTGTGCATACTTAAAAAAAAAAAAAAACAACAAACACAACTTTTTAGAATAAACAGGAAAAAAATCATGCTGTATGTTGCACTGCAAGACGCATGGGAAGCGCTTACGGACACACCAGTTTTGAAAGCTAACTCTCTGTGGGGCAAACTGGTCGCTGCAAACATTGACTTCAGCGTTGCCCGCAGTTAAGTTTTACAGTCTGAGTGAGCCCATCAAAAGCAAAACACCACAGCGCGTCCCTGGCACGGCAGTCGTATCCACGCAGTTTATTGCCGTTTCACGGAACGAACTGCCTAACAGGCCTTCTACTGGCACAGCCACCTCGCTGAACCCAGTCCGAACCCACGCGCGCGCAGACACACCTGCGAAGCCGAGAGCAGACCAAGCCTCGGCATCAGGCTGTCGTGACAATCTCGCGACTCTTCCCATCCAATTAACTTTGCTTCAGGGAGACACCTGCTAAATACGACGTTCCAAAATACCTTGCTTTTTATGCTACTTTTCTATATCAGTTAAACGACCTTTTTTCTCCCCGACCTTCTTTTTTTCTAAAAAAAAAAAAAAAAAAGGTAACCAAAAAACTCCAGAAGGTCGCAGTGCTGGCAGACTACTATCAGATCTGCGCACAAATTCCCCTTCGGCAAACAGCAAGACAACAGGATGGGTACATCCCACTCCTTAAAGATTCCGTTAGGCCGGACTTGAATAAAAACACCTTGATGTGACAAAAATTCAAACTAGTCAACAGTCATCAGCGGAGGTCACCAAAAAAACAAATGCAGAATTACAGCGCTCCCGCGCAAGAATTAAGATTTTGTATTTGCAAAAAAGAGAAATTAAGCAGAATCCAAGTAAGGCACCGTGTCTACTCCGACTAGAAAAACCTTCTTGTTAATTGTTAGGTACCAGCCACTTACACCCCATCATGAGAGCCAGCAGTGTGCCCTTGTTGCCAAAAAGGCCAATGGAATCCTGGGCTGCGTAGGGAAGAGTGTGACCAGTAGGTCGAGGGAGGTCATTCTCCCCCTCTACTCGGCACTGGTGAGGCCACAACTGGAATACTGTGTCCGGTTTTGGGCTCCCCAGTTCAAGAGGGACAGGGAACTGCTGGAGCGAGTCCAGCGATGGGCAACCAAGATGACTGAGGGATTGGAGCATCTCCCGTATGAGGAGAGGCTGAGAGCGCTGGGACTCTTTAGCCTGGAGAGGAGAAGGCTGAGGGGAGACCTTATTATGGCATACACGTATCTAAAGGGGGGGTTGGAGGAGGATGGAGCCAGACTCTTCTCGGTGGTTCCCAGTGACAGGACGAGGGGCAGTGGGCACAAGTTGGAGCAGAGGAAGTTCCGTTCCAACAGAGGGAAGAACTTCTTTACGGTTGGGGGGACAGAGCGCTGGCACAGGCTGGCCCGGGGGTGGGGGGGTCCCTTCTCCGGAGGTTTTCAAGACCCGCCTGGATGCAGTCCTGAGCGATGTGCTCTGGGCAGTCCTGCTTTAGCAGGGGGGTGGGACTGGGTGAGCTCTGGAGGTCCCTTCCAGCTCTGAAAACTCTGTGATTCTGTGTGATTCTGTGATTAACCCCTCACCCACAGGTCTGTGTCAGTGAAACGCTGCTAGCTGAAGCGCAGACACACGGACAGGGCTGTATTTTCCCTTGACAGACTGCGTTGCTCGTTCGTGTTTTTACCCCAGTAGCACGCGGTTTTGCCAGCAGAGCGTACCCGTGTTCCCGGCACCAGTCCGGCAGATTTCACTGCCGCTGCAAAGGCAGACCAGCACCGCGGAGGCAAATAAAGAGGCGCCGGTGGTTCAGCTGCTGCTCAGAGACGGGACCGTCTTCAGGAACAAGCACGCAAAAGCACAGAACAGACGTGCTTCTCACTTAAGCTAGCACAGATTTTAGAAAACTAGCAAGCAGTTAAAAGTTTGCTTCTTATCTCTACTAGGACTACAGTTAATACGATGGAAAATACGGCAACATGATGTAATCAAGAACTGATAAGACTGCAAACACCATGTCTGACACGATGCATGTAATTCTCAGTTCACTATTTTTGTGAACTGGGTGCTTCGACTCGTAGCTCCAACACCCAATTTACAAAGCCGGACTCCACAAGAGGTTCATTTGTGACACTGCAAATCGAGAACAAGTTAATTTTAAAATTGTTACTGGAACTAAAAGTGAAAACTTAAGCAAATGTCTCTTCGGAGACTGGCAATTATCCCTTTTTCTAATCAATGTTAACCCCGTTTCATACAGCTGGCAAAAAAAAAAAAAGTCACAAATTTAGCACTATACTGAACGCCTCTACTGAGAGAAAACATACACAACTTCAAGATTTTCTGAATGTCAACAACAACAACAACAAAAAAAAAAATCACCAAATCTGCATGACTTAGATCTTCCAGTGTCCAAACTATACTGATATAAGATCAAAAATAGAAGTTTGAAGAAAAAACCCGAGCAGTAACCTTTCACTCTTTCCTGGCATACCAGAAGCCTAAAGTCCACACAGAGCGAATACAGATTAGTCCGAAGGACTCCGGTGCAGAGGAATCCAGCCAGCTCAGGGTATGATGGAAGTCATCACAAACCAAAAAAGGCTCAAGACAAAGAGCAGGGGGGTATTACTGATACGTTAACATCACAGTCAGGTAGCTAGAGGGGGGGAAAAGACTGACTAAGTTAGACTACATTACAAAGATATTCTACTGTTGAAGTATGGGAACAGTTACGGGATGGCTACGATGGAAAACAACTACAAAATTGTCTTGCAAATAGGATTCAGGGGGCATAACATCTTACAATATCCAGAGCAGAGCAACTGCAACGTAACAGACTGGAAACGCAGAGGACGTGGCTCTCATTCATGTACTGACCGGCTGAAAATTAGTGAAAG